ATATATATATATATATATATATATATATATACATATATAATGAATATATATGCATATTTCTTTAGTCATTTTGGTTGCTATGGATTTTCCTATAACGCAGTAAATATGGTGGAAGTAACACAGCTGAATTCGATTGCAAACTTATAATAAATCTGAGTGGTTCAACAGGCGTTAGAAAAGATGGTAAGAATATTTATATTTAAATTATTTGAATATATATATATAGATTTATATTTATTTACTTAATTATTTTTAATATTCTGCTTTTTTTTTGTGTGTGTGTGTGTGTATGTGTGTTTTTATATGTATGTATGTATGTGTATTTATATATGTATATCAGGCAGCATTACCAACATCACCACCATCACTAAAAGGGGGGGTAAAAAAAATAAGACTACTTAAAAGTATTTCCAGTTTAATGCACAATTTTTTCTTCTCCCCTTCTTTTTTTCCCAATTTCTTCCTTTTTCTTTAATTTCTTGTCTGTTTTAGGCATCCGTTTTAGTTGACAATAATTTAGTTGTTGGGAGGTATGGGAGAAGGAAAAAAAAATAAACAGGAGACAATGTTGTTAACATTTTTTTCATCTTATAGTGGTAACAATTTCTTTTTCTTTTATTTTTGGAGAATCAGTGATCTTTTCCAGGTTACAGAATTCACGTGGATAATTTTTTTATACGTCATTCTTCTTGTTTTTATTTATTTTTCTTTTTATCGTCATTATTCACCAGTTATCTATGACAATTGCATTTAACTAATGGACAGTGGGGTAAACGGGATGATTCGACAACTATACATTACTAATTGAATTGGCTATTTTAAATGTTAATGCAGAAATTATCTTAAAAACAAAATTGTTAATTTGTGTTACTGCCGATCACTCATTGACAGTGAATATCAGTTGAATTTTTTTGAGATTTTCTTATGCAAGAAAACAAAAAAAAAAAAACTTTTTTTATAGTTTCATTAATGTTTTATTTTTCCATTTTACCTTTTTTATTTTTGTGACATTTGTCTGGTAAATATTATAAGGGATAATTTGTTTTTTCTTTTGGTTTGTCTTCTTTCTTTTTGTTTTGATAACCCAAATTCCAAGAGCTGTTTTTTACCCCGCTTTTTGAGCCGTTACTGTCGCTGTTGTTGCTGTTACGTTAATGCTCAAAAAGAAATAAACATACTCAAAAATTTTATACATATATATTCTGCCTATCCTTATTCACTGTATTGGAAATTAGATACAAAAAGCTGTAGGAAAAAAATGAAGACAAATATAAGTGATATATGGTGATAATGAAGGCAACACAGTGGAAGGAGGGAAAGAAAACTGAGATTAGAAGGAATTGTGGGTTGAAACATTGGGAGGAAAAAGAGAAGAACGTTTTTAAAAATAAATTTTCGAAATTACACTTTTTTTTTCTGTGAAATTTTAGAAATAAAATTTGTTTTCTTCTTTTTTTTATTTTATCTTAAAAGCAAAAGAGAAAAAAAAAACAAAGAGAAAAAAACTGAATGCAATTAAAAAAGCTTTAACTGTTTTTAGCAATTAAGGAATCTTTTTAGTAATGAAAAATAGACAGGTTTTTTTTTTCAGGGATTATTGGAAATATTAAAAAAATTCAGAAATCAGTCTGGTAAAGAACTTCGAATACTGCTTTTAGGTTAGCACTATTTGCTTATTAGTTAGCTGTAAACAGCAGCATTTCTAAATTGTAGACAAATTTCATGGTAACTGTGTCTCTTTTCAAAATTTGATAAAAGATTTTATTTTCCCATAACCAATTTTGATCATATAGGTTCGAGAAAAAAAAATTATTGAATGCAATAATACACCTATTCTTATTTAGGCTTAGATAATGCCGGTAAGACAACGTTGCTGAAAACGTTGGCATCTGAAGATATCGCAGAAATTACGCCAACACAAGTAAGTGATTTGAAAGCAGAACACGACGATATGGTGTTGTTTGATGCTCAAACTTACTTCATACTTTCAATCAATTTTTACTATAGTTTCAACCTGTCTTTTTTTGCCTTCTGTTTCAGTGAACTTTTTTTTCTTACCTATTAAGCAACAAGTTTTCTTTTTTTTTGATTAATTTTTTTTTTGTTTATCGATGACTAATAGTTAAAGAATATCAAAAAAAAAAGGTAGTTGGATTGAAGTTATTAAATAAAATTTTTAAAATTTTTTAACGTAAATAATATTTATTTTTTTTAACTGCTTTCTTTTTTTCAATTTTACTTTTATATATTCCATCTGGTTGTTTTTCAGTTGTCTGTCACTCTTAATCACCATCAATGCTATGAACTAAGATCAGTAGCGGTTAAAGAAATGGTTTTTAATCATTTTATTCGCCCCAAATATAATGTTTAAAAAAAATCAGACCACTTTTCCCTTAGCACCTCCTCATGTCACCGGTTTTTTTAATGCTGTTGACAAATTGGATTTCGAAACACTGATACAGGCGAAGAGCCAACTGGAAAGACCATCAAATAGTAGTTATCAGTTCAAAACTCTTTTTTTTTCGTAATAGTCAGTTGACGCAAATAATCTATGAACAATACCCCTAATTTTTCTTCATAACATTCTGAACTATAGTTGAAAAAAAGCTTTTCTTGCTGGTTTCATATTTCACTGCCTTTTGGTTTTTATTTGTTCCTTTCTTTTTTTTTTTTTTTTTTTTTTTTTTTTT